TACCATATCGACATCATTACAAATAGAAAAGATTCTATTAAGAATGAGTTGTCATATGGACAATATGGAAGCGTGTCCATATTAGGAATTGAATATTGAAAATCTATGTCTAGATTAGAAACTTTTATGCAAAAGGATGTTCAAAGAATGTACTTTGAGTGAGAGACATCATATCTAAGGAATTGTATTGTAACAATCTCCGATAAAAGACTTTGTAATTTCATTGGCAATAGTCTTTGTGACTTTGGTTAGTGATATTACGAAAGAATCATTGCATAGAATGTTAGAATCTAGCATATTCTATAAGTAGCAAGAATTTGATATTCTTTCACTTATGAAAAAGGATTTGGAGTTGCAAAATGAGAATGATTGGAAATGTGTTCAATTTGTCTATTTCACAAAAGTAAGAACCATAGGTAAACATTGTGTGCATGCTAGGAGCTTGAGACAAGTGTTGGAATTCAAGTAAGAAGTTGATTACCCGAAACGACAAATAATGATTAATCGATATGGTGATAAATAAAAGGTGTTTTATTTATGCTCAAAGGGTTGAGGCCATATGGGATTAGTATTATTCTTGTGTTTCACCTTGCATGTTTTGACTTCCAGAATAATTGAATTTATTAAGAATAATCGAATTATTCGAACGGGCCACAGTCGTTCATATGTTGGAAGTAGATATGAATGAAGACTGTCATGAATTGGTGTGTGGATTGTCTAAGAAGAGTATTAGACATAAGCAAATGTTTGCTGCAACGTTCATGAGTGCTTATGAATATGATTTGAGCATTGGATTAAACCCACGCTCACTTGGATCACTCCATGAATTGTATCACCAGTGATTGGTGAGACGATAACATCTTATATTCTTGAAACCGAGATGTGTGAGTTGTATCTTGCTAATCGGTTGCACATTGATAATATGAAAACGCACTAGTAACTTGGTGTTATAAAACATATTGTTGTGTGTGATTTGGTTAGTGAGTGAAAGCAAGCATTGTATCAAAGTTTATCCGTTCCTTTTATCCAAAGAAGGATAAAAGCGATATCTTTGGGCCCCTCGATGGTTTAGTGATGACAAACGTAAATGCTCGGCCGGGCTAGGGTTAATTTGATTTGTTCAATTAGCCAGTCGTCATAAATCAGAAATCGAGAAGTAGTACAAAGATAATGATTAGAAATCATATCTCATATGATATCTAGAATGGAGGAATATATGATCCCTTATCTAAGGACATGCGTATTTGATATGATCAGAGTTGACAGCGTCTTTGGAAAGCTACGATTACAGATCAGGATCTGAAGTCATACGCAAAATAGTTGTTAGACTTATCCAAGTGGGAGACTGTTGGATTGGTGTCTAAGTCCATAACTATTTTGGTATGTACTTGACCCGATGGTGCATGGTCCTTTTGGGTTGCCTTCACCAAAGCAACTTGATTGGAGAAATAAATAAAGAGAGAGAGGTTATTATGATTTATTAATATGTTATAAGAATAATATATTAAAGGAGAAATCATATTTGTTTAATTAATATTGGTCAATAATTAATTGGGAATTAATTTTGTGATCAAGTGTAATTAATTAAACTAGAGGGGCTGATTTGTAATTATGTGATAGTTACAAAATAAGGTAAGGATTATCTTAAATATAGGGTGAACGAATTTGAGGTGATAAGGCCTTAGAATTCGATTATGATAAGGATTCAAGGATTATCTTATGGGTTGCTTTGTGGATAAGCAACTAGATAAGGATAATGACTGAAACCCTATCTCTACACCTATATAAACACCCCTTGGCTCATGAATTCGTGTAAGCCTTCCCAAGAAGTCCTAAGGACGAATTTTAACCTCTCTCCTCTCTCTTTATACCTTCTCCATTTGCTCTTGGTGTTTGTAAGCCATTAGAGGAGTGACACTTGTGACTCTAAGCATTCCAAAGTCAATTCAAGGTGGAATTAGGATTGTTATTGCTACATAACAATCAAGGTATGATCTTAAACCTAATTACATATTAATATGATTACTTGAATGCTAGAATTAGGGTTTATAGTCTTGGATTCAAAGCATGTACAATAGAGAAACCTAGATCCAAGCATTAGGGTTTGTATGAGCACATAGGATGTCTTATGACCAAAAACCCATCACATACAACATAGATAATCCACATACACACATATCATATCAGCTATAAAGCCACGTATACCATATAAGTCATGCATGTAACATATAGGGATGTCGTGAGCTCGTCCCCAGGGTCTTACTCCAGGATGTTATGGGCTGCCCATATGGTCTTACACCTAAGTGTCATGGGCTCTCCCATGGTCTTTTATAGGAATGCCATGTGCTCTCCACATTGTCTTACATCCTGTTGCCATGAGCTCTCCACATGGTCTCTAGTAGGAATGTCATGGGCGCTCCACATGGTCTTACATCCAGGTGTCATGGGCTCTCCCATGGTCTTCCATACAAACATACAACTAGCATAAAACCCTAGCATGCAACCAACTATCATGTCTCGTAATATGACTTCAACTAAAGTATTACATTATATAATTGAGCCGACCTTGGTGCCTTCGACCCATTAGTATGGTGAGGAGACATACCTCTCACGAATGATGAACTGACAAGCTAGAATCAGATATGTGCCACGTGTCTCTCCAACTCAACTACCATAATCTACAAAGTGGTGAAGTTCAAGAATGAGGGCTTGGTTTTCTTGATGTTCTTCTTCTTCTCAATATCTCATTCTTCTTAAACTTCACAAGACAATTTGAAACATATGTTACAATTAAAAACAACTAACATTGTTTTATTTAATTTATTGTATCTAATATCACAAAGAAATAGGTCGGTTGGCAGAAACCACCGCCGTCAATTGAATGATTTTCGAGTCGTTCCCCTCCTTAAAATGATTTTTTCAGATTAATCAGATACTATTGCAAACAACATAGGGTAACAAACCTGCATGTCTTTTTCAACCACCTAGGTCACTTATGACTCATACCCATCCTTTCAATGGACTTCAATGATCTTGAATCATTTTATATATCTTTGCTTGGTCTTTCTCTAGCCAATATATCTACCAACTCTCCCTTCTTGTATATCGAATAGACGACTCACAACTTCTCTAGTAGCAAGACCTCCGGATCCCAACTTGACCTGATTGACAAAAAAAAAAAAAAATTTCATCCATGGTGAGCCAGTACCACCCTTCGGCGGTCTACAGTGGAAAATCTTTGACCACCTGTACAAAAAGGTTGTCACTGCTTACCTTGAGCCCTCCACTACATAATTCATGGGATCCTCACACCTCCGCGCTAGACACTTGCTCATCACAAAGTAAAATTGATGGAAACATACCCTAGAGTTCTCTTCTCACAAAATAGACATACCCCCACACGAAATGAGGATGGATCGAATTAAGGTTTCAAGGAGTCAAAAGGTTGGATTTTGGAAGAAAATGTGTCTCACGATGTGAGAGATAAAGGCTTATGACGTGATATGGGTTTATATGGAACTTTTGTTTGGGACTGGTCTCACGACGTGAGATAAAGAGGCTCACAATGTGAGAACTGATGCAACCCAAGCCCATGATATTTTAGGTTTTCCATCGCACTTAAGCACCTCTAAACCCATTTTAGGGTTCATTATTAGCCTCCAAACCTAATTTCACCTTAGAAAACACTAGCGTTCATCCTTTGTATGATTATTGGCAATTTTGGAGCAATTCTTAGTTTGAAAAAGAAGAGAAGAAAATCTTTTGTAGAGGCTTGTAAGGAACCATCATCACCATCACCTTACATTGTCTCTGGATCCTTCTAAGTGTCAAAGCTTCCTCCTTTATTGTTATTTAAGGCTAGATCTAAGTTTTATCCCACTTCCCTCCTTGGTTAAGCAAGTTAAAATGAATGGAAACCATAAAGTTGGTAACTTTATGGGTTATAAGGGCCGTAAGAGTGTTATGGAGTTTAAATATAGTGAATGGTTAGGTTTTGGAACCTTAGCATGAAATTTGGGTATATTTTTCTTCAACTTTTGACCCAAATGAGTTCTAGAAATGTATTAGACACACATGTCTTCAAAGCATCCACTTTCAAGTGTATTAAGGAGTTATAAGACCTTCTGGAAAGTTATAGTTTAAGGCTTAATGGACCAAGGACTTGAAAGTTGGATTTTTGGCCTTAGAATGTTCTTACGACATGATACATAAGGTCTCATGATGTGAGGAGTGGTTGATCCCGTTTCTGATGATCTTCGTGGGGCTCACGACGTGTGGAAAGGCTACTCATGTCGTGAGGTCATCTTAGGTGTCATTTCTTGATTGAGTTGGCTAGATTGAGTCGTGATGAGTTGGAATCGAACCAAGTGAGCTCTGACGACGTGACCAAGGGATGGCCATGACGTAAGGATGGATAGTTGACATTATGGGCTATTGACTTTGACTTTAACCGTTGACTTTTGGGTTGGGTTGACTTTTAATCAAATTCTATTTTTGCAAGGTATACTTAGGGTTTACTTTACCTTCTTATTTCAAAATTCTCAAATTAAAGTTCATTAGTTTATTTTGTTTACTAGTTTATAACCTGTGGGAACCACGGGTTACAAAATTAAAAAAAAAAAAAAAAAAAAAAACTTTCATAATAAAAATTTATAATTATTAATTAATTATTTTAAATAAATTATTAATTAAGAGATATATCAAAATTTTAAAGTTATTATAACTTCAAATTTAACATATAACTACAAAATATAAATTTGAATTTTAAATTGATTTTTCTAATATATTTACATGACATGACATAATATTAATGAAAAATTATATTAAAGTGACACTTGATAAAAAGAGACTAAACTATTTATTTTTTAGAATAAGGATTTTTTTAAATTTAAAAGATAAAAAAAAAAAATCAATTATAGTAATTCATTGTTTTTCTTATTTTCTTATAAATTTAAAGTTATTAAATAAATATTTATATTTAATTTTTTTAATTAATCCATATAATATATAAGTTTTACACCTAATTTTATTAATAACTATTGTTTATTATTTATGGATAAGATCAACTACACCAACAAATCTAATCACTATCATACAGTAGCCATCAATGCAATGCTTATCCTAGTTATTGACGAATTCAACCATGTAACCTATGTAACATAGGACTATACATATAAAAATGTACTTTTAAATACACATATGGTGGGACCCAATACATATGTACCTTTAATGGAGTTCATTTGGTACAACCTTTACGAAATATGTGTAAAATGACAAAAAGATTATGTACAACGACTTTCCTTCAAATCTTACAAAATGATTAGCCTGAAAAGAGCATGCAAATCCATGACCAAAATCCTTTGCGCTTTCTCTTTATTTCGTGAGGCGTGACATTTCTCTTGGCAACTAAATCAGCCATGTATTCGACAACCACCTGAAAGTAATTAAACAATGTCAACTAAGTGTTTGCATACATGCGTAATGGAAACTTTACATAAGAAGAAACATGTTACACCCATCTTACCTGAGCCCCTAACTTGGTGATTTCCCTTGGAGGAACCTCAAGAGGTGTCTCATCAGCTCGGAATATTTTCAACTTCGACAACAACCCGAAAGATTCGGGTAAAAATCTTATCTGATCATCACTTATATCAAGAACTTGAAGATTTTCAAGATTACCAATCGATCTTGGTAAAGTTGTCATGTCAGCAAAATTTTTACCAATGATAAGTTTCTCCAAACTGGTCGCGAAACAAAGACTTTCGGGTATCCCTTCGAGTTCATTGAAACTTGCATCAAGCTCCTTTAATCTAGTGAGATTCGCCATTGTTGTAGGAAGCTTTCGAATCCGGTTATAATGCAAAGAAAGAATCTCCAAGCACTCTAGCTTTCCAATTGCTTCAGGAAGCCCTTTTAGCTGATTAAAGTCTAGTTTCAGCACCACGAGCGAAGAACATGATCCGATTGTGTAAGGAAGTTCTTCAAGATCATTTGTTTCAGCAATCAAGATTTGCAAAGAGTTTAACTCCCCTATGAGGTCTGGCAAATGGGTGAAATGGTTTGAGCTTAAATCAAGATTAATCAAGCTTGACAGATTACCGAATGATTCTGGGAGAGATTTCAATCGGTTTGCATGGAGATCAAGATCGAGCAAGTTGACAAGTCCACCAAACGAATCGGGAAGGTTGATGAGTTGGTTTGAGTGAACATCAAGCCTTGTTAGGGATGTAAGATTGGTGATGGATTGTGGGAGAGCCATGATTTTGTTGTCTGATAGATTAAGTTCAGTGATGTTTGATAGTTTTCCAAGAGATACAGGAAGCCATTCGATGTTTTCCATCAATTTGGATTGAAGATCAAGAACTTTTCCATCTTGTTTGGCTATCGTTTCAATCAAGGCTGCTACTTTCATCATGCTAAGTTTTTCAGATTCTTCTACTCCTATCAATTCAAAACAATAAATCATTGTTCAAGATTACACACACACACACAGGGAAAACTCATCTCCGAACACTCAAATCAACACCATGTAAGATTATGTGTTCATAATTTACATAGAACAAGAAATTGACAAACCTGAGGGTAAATTGGTGGCTTTTGTTGAAGAACTCATGACTAAACCCTTAAAACTTTCGACTTTACTGATCTTGTTGGAAATCAACAAACTTTCATCACTTATCGGTGGTTGTTTTTGAAAATTACCAATTGGGTATTTCAAATCATCGTCTTTATCCAACTGGGTATCTCCCAAAACACACTTGGAAGCTTTCTGTATCAACTCGTCAAAGGTTTGATAAGTCTGATCAACGTTAAGAATATGCAGAGCTTCTTTCCTCTGTTCGTGGCTCTGAAACAAGACCATGGTTTGTCGGATCTCTTGGAGGACAGAGAAGAGCTGTGGTGAGACATCTTGTGGGCAGATTTGTATGGAAATTTGATCAAGTTTCTGTTTTTCTTCGGTGTTGACTGTTTTGATGACAGATATGGCTGCTTCAAGCTCTTCAATGGCAGGTCTTGGTGGAAGTGATTTGTATGTTGCCATGATTTCTTGTATGGTTTCTGTGTTGGAATTTGATGAAGCCATGGATGTTTTTCGTGTGTAGAAATGAAGTTGGAATGGTTTGTTTAAGCTTTGACTGTCCTAGACAAGTGATGGGTTTGTAGATATATACAAGAGAGAAGAGAATTTGGATAAACATTTACATTTATTATTCCAAACATTGTACAGGTATATAAAACAAGTTAGCAGTATATTAGATTTGATTAGAAATAACATGTTCTCTTCTTTGATTATAAGGTTGAAAAAGATATCTAAATGTTAGTTTGAATAATATATTTAAATAGAATCGACGGAGTTAAATGTCTTTGCACATGCAACTAGACAATATGTTATTGAAGTAGATAATATTCAAGAATAGCAACATGTATCTATTTCATTTTAAATTATAAAGATATAACAGTGACATGTTAATTTTTTAATAACATATATTATTTATCTAATATAACATGTTTGATTATTAGAACATTATATAATAGAATAATTAATATTGAAACAGATTAATTATTAATGTACTAAATATAGTATATTGTTGCTTAAATATACTATGTTTTACGATTTTTTTTAATTATAAAATCACGGGTTAAACCGCACCGGGACAAAAAATATAATCATCATTTCTTGACCTGTGCAAGTTATACGAGTATGGCGAAAATCCAAGAGAAAATGGATAAATTTAGGCAAATATGTTTTGCCAGAAAAATACTATGTGTATTTTAATCATACCTAAATGCTCATAGCTTTCGGTTAGATGCTAAAAAATAATCTTAAAATGAAATATAATTATGTACGACTTTCATTTTTATGAAATTTTGAAATATTCAATTTGATAAATGAGGCTTCAGAATTAACAATCCAACCCGAATTAATATCAACATGTGTTGATATGTGTAGATTGCCCTGAACTGGTTCTAATTAGTTCTACTTTTGTACTTTGTCTATATATGCAACGGTTGATTATGATTCTATCGTTTTCAAACTCGTGAATAAAAATACTTTTTCATGCGATGTGGACATATGTCACATCGACTAAACCACGTTAAGTAGTGTGTCTTTATGTACATGTGTGCTATTTTCTCGATTATTCAAGACAAGTTGTATAATAGTTGTGGTTTTGTTTTGTTGATTGAAGAGATTACGTCTCACAAATTCAAAATAGATAACTTCAATGGCTTGAATGATTTCACGTTATGGAAGGTGAAGATGAGAGATCTTCTGGTTCAATAGGGTTGTTTGAAAGATTTAGATGAATAAGAGAAACTACCAAAATATATGGCTAAAATGATGAAAAATGATATTTTGGAAAAAACACATATTACTATTATGGTAAGCATAATTGGCGAGGTGGTACGGTAGGTAGTGGATCAAAAGACCAATAATGGGCTTTATGATAAAGTATGTGGCGAGTACCAAAATAAATCTCCCACAAATTGGTTGTATCCGAAGCAATGCTTGTGTACCCTTTTTAGGAATAATCGAGAAAATAGCATACACCAAACAATTCTCTCATGAATCATTTGTATCAAACCCTTATTTTGTTGTGATATATACCAAATTCATATGAGAATTTAGTTGATGCTATGTTGTATGGTTAAATAGGGATCATTGTCAATGACATGAATGATTACTTATTATCCAAGGAACTGAAACGTAGAGTTTCTGGTAATGAAGAAGGTTTTGTTTCAAGTTTATTTGTTAAAATAGGTAGAACACACGAAAGGGAAGGTGGAAACATGGGAAAATTGTTGGGTTTTATTCAAAAACTAGTTTCAAAAACAATGGAAGACTTGATGATTTGAATAACATAAAAGAAGTTTATAACCCACCAAGGATCTTCTTGCAAAGTTTGGAAAGAAAAACACCAACCAAAGAAGAAGATGGAGAAATTACAACCTTTGTAGTTCTTTGAATCCTCTTGGGAGGCTTGGAAGTTGATGAAGAATAATGAACTTTAGAAACACCATCAAGTTGTCAACATGATTTAAGTTGCTTGTCTTGTAAGAAAAACTCTTATTCCCTTAAGCTTGAAGTTCAAAACCAATATGAACTTGAACAAAGCATAAAAGAGATGCAAGTAAACTCTCAAGTAAACTCGTCTAGAGAGAAAGTGAGGGAGTGGAGGGAGGATACGGTTTTCAAGAGGCATCCAAGACAAGAGTTCATGCAAGCCCTTTTTTACATATAATCTTTGTCCATAAGGTCTTCACCTTTTTTACATATAATCTTTGTCCACGCCTCACGCGTGGCGAGCGTTCTGAAACACCGATTTGTTAGAATATGGGTGACGTGGCAGAACGAGAGGATGACACGTGGTAGCGCCCCCTGATGGAACCACACACATGTACCGCGATGCATGACACGCTCTTCAAAACTTCCTATAAATAGGGAGGTGCGGCAGCTTAGTTCTACACACCTTATTCACACATTCTCTTTTGAATTTCGAGCCTTCTTATCTCCCAAGCGGTTCCCGAACTCCCAAAGATCCGACACCACGCCCCGGGTATATATAGCATGCTTCAAAGGTGAGTTTACGGCCCCACTTTTACAACTTTGTAATGTTTTCAGGGGGAATATATGTTATAATAGTACATTATTAATTTGAAAATTATTGCTAAGTATATATGGTATTAGTGGTTTAATTACATCTAGAATCGTTAAGATTACACTATGCCTAGTAGATACCCTGTCAAACTCTTAAGGATAATATTATACCTAGTCGTTACCCTGACCAATTTTTAGAACTACATCGTACCTAGTCGTTACCATGACCAACTTTTTTGATATAACCTTGTACATAGTCCTTACCCTGACCAACTTTTGATAGAACATCGTACCTAATTGTTTCCATGGTGAACTTTTGATACAACATCGTACCTAGTCATTATGTTGGCAACTCTTTAGGAAATACATTATACCTAGTCGTTACCCTGGCCAACGTTTGGGGTAGCGTTGTTATTATGTCTGAATATCCTATTGGAATAAACAACATTATCACAATTATATATATATATATATATATATATATATATATATATATATATATATATATATATATATATATATATATATATATATATATATATAAGGTTTCAATTGAGAAAAAAAAGGTTGAGAATGTGGGAATCATTCTCAGTTACTCATTTATTTTTGCCGCAAAAACCTCCGTCGTATCAGTAGAAATGGGAAAGGAATAGACATGTGTTTTCCAACAAAACATGTTTCCTTAAACTATGCTAATCATTACCTTAATATATACAAAAACATAGTTTTTTCGTTTTTATTTTTATTTTTAAGAAGCTATTTTTATCGAAAAATGAATTTAAATATACCAAAATTCATGATTTTTTATTCTCTACAGATAGACATCCATATTTATATAGTTTTAAGATAAAATAATTTTTTTTTATATTTTCAGCTATCGTTATTCATAAGTGAATAAAAATGAATCAGGTTTTTACTATAGTACATTCGTTATTCGGTTATGAATAAAAACTATGATTATTATTTTTTTTTTTTTACAATTTAAGTATCATTCATATATGAATATAGCATATAATAAACATAGTATATTCATATTTAAATATTAGACGATGCATTCACTTATGAATATTACATAGTATATTCATTTGTGAATATTAGATGGTATATTCACTTATGAATATTAGATAATATTTTCATATCTAAATATTACATAGTATATTCATTTGTGAATATTAGATGATATATTCACTTATGAATATTACACAGTATATTCACATATTTAGAAAGTATTTTCACAAATATATATAATTTTTATATGTTATTCACATATAAATAACATACAGACTTGTATATTTGATTTTTTTTTAATAATCATATACTGAGAAAACATATTCATATATGAATATAATGTGGTAATTTAGTTTATGCATTTCATCAAACAGTTGGAGTGCATACAATTTAACTTTTTTAAAAATGTTAAAAAATGATATTTTGACTATTTAAATCTTACCAAAAGAGTAGATTGATAGAGAATTATATGAATTTTTTCAAAAAAAAAAAAAAAACGATTTGATTTTTTTCTAACCTCAATTTTGAAGTTTTATTTGATAATCGATGTTGAATGAATGATATGAAGTGGATTTTTGTTGATTATCGATGATGTTGATATAATAACGCTGGGAGTATAATTAACCATAGAGGTTGAAGATCTGATCGTATTCAAGCACAATTGAAGGTTGAATTAAAAGAACCAAAAACGAACTTTTGTTGTTAATTGTTGAATCGTGTTGATAAACATGTTATTGACGAATATCGATGATTGATTAGCACTGTATGATGTTGATGATGGTTTAATTGAAGAAATCTGGATGATTGTTGAAAGTTGGAGAAGAAATTTGGATGATGAACGATGAATGGGTTTGAACTGTAATCTAATTATCTACAGATACGTATTTAAGATTGAAGGTTGTTATCATATTTACAAGTTTGCCACTGTATCTTTTTATGCTTAGATAAAATGAGTGGCTGAGAATGATTCGCCCATTCTCAACCTTTTTTATTTTCTCAATATATATATATATATATATATATATATATATATATATATATATATATATATATATATATATATATATATATATATATATATATATATATTATAAACATAACTAACGTACCAAGAGAAAGCAAAGTACCGAACACGACTACACATAAACAGTTGTTAAATGAGACATTATTCATTCTTTAGCCAAATAACCTTTAGCTAACCCCGACCTATTATTTTTAAGTCTTATGTGAGCGGGAGAGGTATGTATAGATCTATATAGGACTGATACCCTCACATGGAGTTGCTAGCTACAACCTTGAAGGTCGAGTCATAGTAGGCATAACTTTCTAAACTTTGGTGACGACTGATGAAAATTCGTCTCAGGGATGTAAACCATTCATAAGCTCCATTATAGGAACTTATTGAACAATACATAGCTACTTAAAAGGAAAAACCTAATAAGTAGTCACACTAACTCGAGGAAGCGAGTCAAGGAAAATATTATTATTTATAAACTATTAAATTGTCAAAAGTACACAAAACATTTTCTAAAGTATAAAAACATGTGAACTCACCAACATTATGTTGATCTTTCAAAACAAGATGTATTCTCTGGAGAATGAGTAACGGAAATGGCAAGTGTTTTTGGGAAATCATTAAGACTGAAGTTGGAAGCATTTGTTCTCTGATTATTTACTTTGTATTCTTATTGTGTTGGTACTTAAGACAATTATGTAGCCTCTATTATATAAAAAATAAAA